TACTTCTAGCCAGGCATGTGACTATGAAGATGATAGTTTACTGTTTAGAGTAACCACCTCAAATCAGTGATTTGTTTTTCTGACATCCATTCAACATTTGAAACTAGCTGTTCCTGGTTTTAGAAATTGTTCATACATAGAGCATGCTCTTGCGTATCAAATCAACTGAGAGATATAAACCCCGTATGCAGGTGATGAAGGTATAGGAGAGCCATTTCTTATGTCATATGTTTAGCCCAAATGTAATGTGAAATGAAAACTGGAAATGACAGATGAAGAAAATTTACTGCTCCATCCTTCTGTACCCCTAATGGTCTTCTGAATTTAAAGCCATTGGAAAACCAACTTGAAGAGGAACACCTTATCTTTGGTGATACAATTTTTTTTTTGGGGGGGGGGGGATATTACTTCTGCAGGGAAACAAAAGTCGTATTATTACTTGTATTGCAAGATGGCCAAATTTGTATGACCAGTGCTTTTGAAGAAAACTATGCTTGCACTCAGTGTCCCATGAACAAAGCATCCTAAAGATAAAGAGTACAATTTAATTCTAATGGATAAAGATCACCTCAGAAATGTTAGAACTTGTTGATTTGAAAATGGTATAATATTGTTTGTCTGTAAACATGTTTTTCTGCAATACCTTTTCATAACTCTTCCCTGACAGCTTCAGTATTTCAGAAAATATTCGATAGAAAAAAAAAATTGTACTAGGGACAGTGTCTTTCTATCAGTATGTATCAAGTATAATATGTGAGAATTGAAAATTTATTCATTTTATGATTTTCTGGATATTATTCATTAAAAGCAATATAAATTCCTGTCATTATGTTATAACATTTATTAGCATGTGCATGTTTAAATTTTATTAATTTGTCTTGTTTACGAAAGTCCTGACATTAAGTCAAAAGTCTTAGGAAATGGGAATATCAAAAAAATAAGTAACTCCTGGCTTTACAATGAAATGTCCTGGCAAGATTTGGATTTGAAATGTTTAACAAAGAAGTCCTGGGAGATCCCAGGAAGTCCTGAATTCAAATCCCAGGATTATTAATCTTAGGATTTCCTAAAATCAGATTGTGAGGAAATCCTAGGAATTCTTGGGACATCTTAGGAATTCCTGAGAAGTATTTCAAAGTCAGGAATGATTTCTGCAAGGGTATTTTTATATTTTCTTTTCATTCCAACATTTTGGTCTTGAAATTATTTTCATTAATATCGCAATTCTATGTAATGCATACCGATGTTTATCAAAAATTTCGGCACATATAATGTTATTTTATATCCAGTGTGTTCAACTTGTATATTTCGCTAGTCAGGACGTGAAAAAGTAAAGTTATTTGATCATTTTTAGATTCTACTAAAATTACAATTTCAAGTAGTCCATATATAAAACATTTGCTATTTAATTTTGAAAGGAATGTCTGAAATTTCGGCAATGGTATAAATTCAGCAAATAAACCAGTATTATCCTTAAAACAGTATCAGAATGCTATAATTAAAGCTTTCTGCTAAGTGAACTGTCTCTTCATCTCTACATGTATAAAACCTTAAATACGAATATGGCGAACTTGCATGAGATTTAATTTACATATCAAACTGATAAATTACATGTATATTTACCTATCAAAATGTTACATTTATATCTCAGACAATATAGAAGTGGTAATACTCATACCCTAACAAAACAAGAGGCCCAAGGGCCTTAACGGTCACCTGAGTATAATACAACAATTTAGAGGATCCATAGAGTATAAAATAAACTGATAGATGAAGCTTTGTTGCCCAAAAGCAAGAGAAACAGGATGATCAGAATCAATGAAATAATTAGTCTAGTATTCAGTAACAACTCATACATTAAATTCTAATTTATCCCCCATTTAGCACTATCACCATGCAGACTATTAACAAACTAATAGTTCCTCTGTACTACTTTTAACCCCACATCGCAACCTGTCACATTGGCCTCTCTTGGTCTTTGAAGAACATTTAATAAGTTATTTTTGTCTCTTTTTTATCTATTAATTATTTACAAGTCTATCTGGTCATGAGCCCTGACTAGGACCAGATCACTTTACCAAATGGTCCTGATGTTCAAAAATCTGGTAAAAATATCCTTGCTTATTAAAACTTTAATTCTGTTCGTCTTCAATATGCCAAGGAGCAGAGAAGATTTTCAAAGAAATAATGCATTTTCACTACAGATTTAACACACCCCTACCCTAACACCCATGTCCCCGGGTCATGAAATTCATAAATTTGGTAGAGGTACCCTTATCATCATCATAACTATGCATTTAGTTGAAGATTTTCAAAGAATTAACACATTTTCATTTTATAAACAAATATAGCCCCCCCCCCCCAAAAAAAAAAAAAAAAAAAAAATTAAAATTTTGTAAGAAGCTCAATTGTTCATCATAACTAAGCACTTTATTTATTTGCTCAACACTAAGGAGCAGACAGGATTATTTAACAGAATTAATGCATTTTCACTATATTATCGATAGAGGCCCATCCTTACACCAGACATCTGACTTAGAGGCTATGATTCATCAAGAAGCACTCTTGTTCATCATAATTACACTCTTAGTTTACTTTATAACCAGGAGCAGAAAAGAAGATTTTCAAAGAATTAATGCATTTTCACTATATTAATCAATAGAGCCCCCCCCCTCCCCAACCCTGGGGCCATGAATTTCACAATTTTAGAAAAAGCATCCTTGTGCATCAAAACCATGCGCTTAGTTTGTTTAAATAATACCTAGTAGCAGAGTAGAAGATTTTCAAAGAAATAATGCATTTTCACTATATAATCAATAGAGCCCCGCCCTAACACCAGAACCCCTGACCCTGCGGCCATGAATTTCACAATTTTGGAAAAAGCAATCATTGCTTGTCATAATCATGCACTTAGTTTGTTTAAATAACATCCAGGAGCAGAGAAGAAGATTTTCAAAGAATTCATGCTTTTTCACTATATAATCAATAGAAACACCCCCCAACCCCAGACCCAGGGGCCATGAATTTCACAATTTTGGAAAAGGCATCATTGCTTGTCATAACCATGCACTTAGTTTGTTTAAATAATACCCAGGAGCAGAGAAGAAGATTTTCAAAGAAATAATGATTTTCACTATATAATCAATAGAGCCCCACCCTAGCACCAGAACCCCTGACCCTGGGGCCATGAATTTCACAATTTTGGAAGAGGCATCATTGCTTGTCATAACCATGCACTTAGTTTGTTTAAATAATACCCAGGAACAGAGAAGAAGATTTTCAAAGAGTTCATGCTTTTTCACTATATAAACAATAGAGCCCCGCCCTAACACCAGAACCCCTGACCCTGGGGCCATGTATTTCACAATTTTGGAAAAGGCATCATTGTTTGTCATAATCACGCACTTAGTTTGTTTAAATAATACCCAGGAGCAGAGAAGAAGATTTTCAAAGAGTTCATGCTTTTTCACTAATAGTATATAATCAATAGAGCCCCACCTTAACACCAGAACCCCTGACCCTGCGGCCATGAATTTCACAATTTTGGAGAAGGCATCATTGCTTGTTATAACCATGCACTTAGTTTGTTTAAATAATATCCAGGAGCAGAGAAGAAGGTTTTCAAAGAATTCATGCTTTTTCACTATATAATCAATAGACCCCCCCCCCCCCCAACACCAGAACCCCTGACCCAGGGGCCATGAATTTCACAATTTTGGAAGAGGCATCATTGCTTGTCATAACCATGCACTTAGTTTGTTTAAATAATACCCAGGAGAAAAGAAGAAGATTTTCAAAGAAATAATGCATTTTCACTATACAATCAATAGAGCCCCACCCTAACACCAGAACCCCTGACCCAGGGGCCATGAATTTCACAATTTCGGAAAAGGCATCATTGCTTGTCATAACCATGCACTTAGTTTGTTTAAATAATACCCAGGAGCAGAGAAGAAGATTTTCAAAGAAATAATGCATTTTCACTATATAATCAATAGAGCCCCACCCTAGCACCAGAACCCCTGACCCTGGGGCCATGAATTTCACAATTTAGGTAGAGGGTCCAATGCTTATTACAATCATGCCAACAATTTGACTGCTTGATGTCCAGGAGTAAAGAAGAAGATTTTTAAAGATTGCATCAATTTTGGTGGTTTTAGCCCCACCCCTGGGGCCCCAGGGGGGCAGAGACCATGAAATTCACAATTTTTGTTTCCCTTTACCCATAGATGCTATATGCCAAATTTGGTTGAAATTGGTTGAGCGGTTTTAGAGAAGAAGCTGAAAATGTTCAAAAGTTAACGCACGACGGACGACGCACGACGACAGACAAAAACGGATAACAATAGGTCACCTGAGTGACTCAGTTTACTATAGTTAACTATAGTGATAACTTTGACACTATGAAAACTTTTATTTACTATAGTGATAACTTTGACACTTTGATTCACTATAGTGATAACTTTGACACTTTGATTTACTATAGTGATCACTATGAAAACTTTGTTTTACTATGGTGAAAACTTTGATTTACTATAGTGATAACTTTGAAAACTTTGATTTACTATAGTGATCACTATGACACTATGTGATCACTTTGAAGACTTTGATTCACTATAGTGATAACTTTGACACTTTGATTTACTATAGTTAACTATAGTAAACTATAGTTAACTATAGTATTTTTTGTTAGGGTTAAAACAAAACACACAAAAGAAAATCAATTTTTGTTTGAATAGCAAACCTTAATAGAAGCTACTGGCATGAATTTTACTTTTTCATTCTTTAGTATAGGGTATACCATATAAAAGATAATTTGAATATTTTCGATGTTATGTTTGTAAGGAAGTTCTGACGTTCCAGTCTGTCCTGTTATGTCAAACATATGTTTTTCTCGATTTTGACTGAACTACATATTTCCAGAAAAATTGAATTGAAATCACTCTTGATAATATGGTATTTATTTAGGAGTATATAGTCGATCTGTCAATAATATCTACCTTTACATCCCCAAGCCACACTACACTCCTCCTCCAAACATTTACACTCTTGTTGACAGCCGTCTCCATAGCTAGGATACACACATGACTGGGCACAGTTTACACCAAAATATCCAGGAGTACATTCTGGGTCAATATGAAAAGTTAGTAATGATCGTAAATTCGTAAATAAAAATTATCATGAGATGATTTCAAAAATCTAATTAAAATAATGATTAATTTATTGTGGTAACAATTGACACAATTATGTATGCAATAAAAGTTTATGAGATACTTACTTGTGCAATTTTTGAAATTTTCATCCCATTTGTACCCTGAACAGCACTCCCTAAATCTGCTTATAGACGGAAAATAAAAAAGATAATTTCTTGAAAATATGATAGATATCTTTTTTGTTAGATAGTTTAAAATCTTACCCATGACCTTCACAATGCGCAGAGCATGATGGGGTGATGATAAGATGGACTACAAAACTCAACAGAGCCATTTACAGGTTATGTGTTAATGGAATAAGATTTGAATTTTTAGACAAAATGATACACAAAGCTCCTATATGAGTACCATTTCCTTAAAACTGAGTGGTAAACTTATTTTAGATAACACGGAAGTACTTTATCAATGTTCAAACTTCTTCTAATGTTTTGATTAGCATCTAATTTAGCGGTACAAATATAGACTCTGTAATTAATTTGCAAAACATCTGTTATGTCGTATCAAAATACAGGCAAATCATTTGATCTTCTTGTATGCATTTTTGAAAATTTCAATATAAACATGTATTCTTGTGGTTGATACGGACCTGTAACGGTTGATAATAAGTGTTTAACATTGTTTTATTTCAAAACAATCTTTTTCGATTAAAATCAATAATACATGTAATGTATGTAACATCGTTACGTTTCTGCGTCGCCTGCAGAGCAGAGCGACACTTAGGGACCACTTCACCTTGCATCTGTCTGTCTGTCTGTCACACCTTATATCTCGAGAACTGTAAGAGGTATGAATTTGATATTTTGCACAACTTCGTGCTTCCTGATATTTTGCACAATTGAAACTTCGTGCTTAAATAAATTGCTACCTGTTTTTTTTTAAACTTTCATTTACAGGCGTCTATATATGTAAATACACACAGATTCTTAACTATCCTTCATTTGCAACACTTTGATGTTATGGAAAATAATGAAGTAATGTCTTAATCGAGGAGAGCACCAGGCATGTAGCATCGTTTTTAAAAGCGGGGAGGACCAACCTCCCAAAATAGTTGACTAGCAAAAAATTGTAAACTGTTCAAACTCTAACGTAAATCCTATTTCGTGTGTGTGTGCGTGAGAGAGAGAGAGAGAGTGGGTATATGTGTGTGTGTGGGGGGGGGGGGGGTACAATGTAAGTGGACCTTCCTCTAAATTTCTGGTACTTTTTTCATTGCTGGAATTTGCCTGTGTTCGATCTTACAGCAACAAAAAGCCCAAAAGGGGGGCAAAGTCTAAGTGAAAATTTAAAACTATAGCAAAAGACTACACTGAGAAAAAAAGGGGCCGACTTCCTTTCCCCCCCCCCCCCTTCCTGACTTTATACGGGCTTGGGCACTTAGAACTAGGTACATGTAGATGGCAACAAACTAGGTTCATAGATAAATTGTTAAACCATATTCTCTAATCAAAAGCCGTATCTTCCGTTACATCTCTAATTAGAAATAGAAAAAAATTGAACTACTTGTACCAACTTCAAATGGCAATGTAACTGTCAGTAAAGTACAAAATCATCGTTTATTTCACATATTATGCGCAATTTAATGTACCAAGTACCTAGTATTTCATATCCTAATTACTAGGCAAATATGATACATCTGAGTTAATAAGAATGAGTGGACTTAACGCCCTATTTTGGTCCTTTTGTCATTCCTCTATCAAGCTGTAAATGAACTGAAACCAATATATTTAACATGTGATAGCAAACTCTACATATACATGATACTATTAGGCAGAATATTTTACTAAAGCAATGCCTTGAGGTCAAAAATAAAAACTGAAGCAATGATACATTAGTGTCGCCCTCTGGGATTCAACATCTATACCCGGAGTTTTTTTGGTCACCTAATCAATATTATTAGATAGGAGGCGGTGCTATTAATCAGCTTCACGTAGGCATCTCTGTCTCTCTCCTTTTCTCTCTCTAGAATTCGAATATGTGTATGATATCGCTTTACAACAAGCAGAGCGATATCAATATGAAATTAAAAGATTTCTCATATAAATATTGCGAAGACACGCAAAATTGTAACAAAAGAATTAATTTGCCCAATTCTGTAAATGGCAGACCACCAAAAACGCTCTTAGACCTGATCGAAGTCAAGTTTTAGAATAAATTTTCGTAAGTACCTGTAAACTCACAGCTGAACACGACGCGATGAATTGGTCAATCGAGGTCAAATCATCGTCATGCATAACAATTGAAGCGACAAGTCGATCTGTTTTGAACTCTTTTTTGTAAGATTACGTATGAGCGTATGTTTGTCGTCTCATCTCCTTTTAATGGTATTTCTTCAGAACAACCGACAAACATTTTGTATTCCAAATAACGATCATTCACTGATTCTGTAGTCCACAGCGAATCTCAACCTTAAACAGTGGCCTGGGAATGCTGTTTATTCAATATCGCTGATACCATAGCTCCATTGTTCACTATTTCCATATCCATGTGCCAATCTCCTAGCACCATTAGTGTACAGGAAAAAAAGGTATATTCACTTACGTGGTGCCGTAGAATGTCTGGTCCACATATTGGATCTATTACCGGGTTATCGGTTCTGAACCCTAGTTTGTCTGATGGGCACAACTTTCCGGAAAGTTTGACACTGAAACCAATGGGTGGGAAGAAACGCACCTAAAGGATTTTTTGTCTTATCTTAATCTGGTACTAGTACGTCTTTACTGTACAAAAAACATTTTTCCATCGCTGTGGATAGACGTTCCACAAACAAACAGATAATTTCTACCATGAAAAAGGTGACGATAACGCAAAGTGATCGATCTCTAAAGATTTTATAAACAATACATATCAGTGAAGAAGGCATAAAACACGGACCCCTGGAAATTCCAGAGGTGGGATCAGGTGCCTAGGAGGAGTAAGCATCCCCTGTTGACAGGTCACACCCGCCGTGAGCCCCATGTATATATATACAACTATACTCTAAAAATATAGTTTCACCAAAAGTACACTTTCTCTTAAATGTCTTTGACGTGTATTTATGATTCTAAAAGTTTTATTTATTTTGCATATACATTTGTCATTTAGTTTTGAGAAGACAAAATATAAAATACATTTTTTCTCGCTATGCACAGTTATCACAGTTTTTATAAGTAAAACAGTTCGTCCCTTTCGCAATCACATAGCAAAGCACAAATATAATGAGAGTTGGGTAGGCTATTTCTAGATCTTCAATAAAAATACACGATTAATAAAGTAAAGTAATGAAGTATGAAGATAACGAACAGTATTCAAGTTTAAAAATCCAATGAAACCGTAACCAATAAGAGCAGAGCAAACATGAACCTCTAAAAACATAAATGGTGGGATCTGGTATAAGAGGAGTAAGCATCTCCTGTCGACCGGTCACAGCCGCCGTTGCTTCTTGTTATGATCAGGCAAACGGAAAAATCCGTAGACAATTCAGTGTGAAAATAATGACCTAACAATTTGTATGAAAAATGTCAGTCAACATTCGACATAATGATAGATTGTACTAATTTTGTTGATTAGGTCATTGTATCAACCATAGAATTTCCGAAATATTCTTTTTGAACGAGAAATAAAATTAAAATGAAAGGAAGAATAAGATACATACCCTCTAAAGCTTGTTATCAGAGAGAAGGATGAATAACTGGTATTGATAGTTCCTTCCTGACTGTAGACAACGTCACGCAAAATAGTAATTAAGTAAAAAAATATCTGCCAGGATGAACAAATGGTGCACATTCTTACTGCGATTAACACGAATATCATTCCAGATCATTCGGTAAGTGTAGAACGGTCACAAAAATATTTGATTCAAGAATAAGGTCCCTTCTCTAAATCCCAATTCTACATATCTATTGATTATGAAAATGAATACAATCATACATGAAATAATAAACAAAATCGTTATTTAATAATCAGATAAAAATTTAGTTAATAATATAAATGAATAAAATAAATAATTAAATAATTTGAAAATCAAATAAGCTAAAAAGTAAAATCAATCGATCAGTTAATATGAATAAATAAAAAAGAACAAATCTACTTGGGAAGAGATCCTTTAAATCCAAAATGATTTATTTGATGCAAATATTTAGTAGATAAGAGCATACACATGTTTACTTGCATGTATATTCAAGATGCAAACATTTTTCCTGCAGAACGAACCATTGAAATGACCAGCGACACGAACAATAAAAACTCAAATCATAGGGCCGCCCTCTCCCTTCCCCGAGACAAAGCAAATATTAAAAAGTCATATAAACAAAGATTTGGAAAATCTAAAACAACTAGGACTACAACCAAGCTACTTAAACCTATACATGTAAATTTTCTATTTTTTTAAAGTTCAAAATTAATAGATTCAGACCTAAAATTAATAGATTCAGACCTTTGTGAAACCTTCTGGTCGTTCTAGTGTACTCTGGTGAAGTTCCTCTTACATAATCGAACGAATCATCGCATTAGATAAGACAAAGTAAGAAATCATACTATGTTGTATTCTTTTTGAATATTTAAACTACGATTCATAAAAAATACAAAGTGCAAGATAGCAAAGTGATAAAATAAGGGGAAATGCTAAAACGAATTAAGAAGAAAGAATGAGGATCTCATTTTAGCGTTTACTCCATCATGACAAAGAGCACAGGGTGGTAGTGACGGGTCAATAGGGGATGCTCTTCAAGATATTTTTTTTTATTGAGTATTACATGCCACCGGCCCAAAATACATTCATTTATTAAAATGCTAGATTTACTTTTACAGATCAGGCTCACATATTTAAACTAATACAATGTGGGAACATATGAATTATGCTTATCAATTGTCACATATTAGATTATCAATGTACTTTTCCCTCTCTTTGAAAGCTAAAAAGAAAAATTTTGCAATATTATTTAACACTACATCATTTCCATATATAAACATATTCAAAGTGTTTTTATAAAATCTCAAGTGTTTCAAAATATTACATTTTACTCTAATATCCAAATATAATTCACAATTTTCTACAAAGTTCTCTTCATCATCAATATAAGTTTTATTTGCTATTTGACAAAAGAGTACCTGTTTCCTCTAGGAATACCCTTAAATTGACCATGTTCAATTTCCAAACAATGACTAGACGTTCTTAATTTACAAAGTGATTCTCTAAAAGACGTATTCCAAGTGATTCTCTAAAAGACGTATTGTTTATAACATCTATGTTCTATGTACCTTTCTGGTTCAAAAATAATTTTGAATTTACAATAAAAA